TTTTAGCTGGGATTTGAACCAATTTGATGTAAAAAATGTCTTCCTCAATGGTGAATTAGAAGATGAGGTTTACATGGAGATTCCACCAGGATTTAACTCTACAATTGGAGATAATAAAGTTTGCAGGTTAAAGAAGGCATTTTATGGTTTGAAGCAATCCTCGCGTGCTTCGTTTGGAAGATTTACCAAAGTCATGCTTTCATTGGGATATAAGCAAAGCCAAGGAGATCATAAACTTTTCTTTAAACATTCCCAGGAAGGTAAGACCACTATCCTTCTAGTTTATGTTGATGACATTATTATAACAGGGGATAATATAGGTGAGAAATGTCCTCTGAAAAAAAGATTGACTGTTGAATTTGAAGTTAAAGATCTTGGAAAACTGAGATATTTTCTTGGGATAGAAGTTGCTCATTCAAAGCAAGGGATATTTATTTGTCAAAGGAAGTATGTTCTTGACCTCCTTAAAGAAGCAGGAAAACTTGGGTGTAACCTTTCCAATACTCCGATTGAGCAGAATCACATACTAAGAAGTGAAAATGAGAGCTCTCCAGTTGACAAAGGACAATATCAACGAATAGTGGGCAGATTGATATATCTAGCTTATACTAAACCTGATCTAGCTTATGCAGTTAGTGTTGTTAGTCAATTTATGCATGATCCGAGGGAGAAACACTTGCAAGTTGGGGACAGGTTCTCCAATATCTGAAAGGCACACCAGGTAGAGGACTATTGTTCTAGAGAGGAAGAAACTTAACCTTAGAAGTTTATACAGACACCGATTATGCTGGATCTGTGACTGACCGACGGTCTACTTCGGGCTATTGTATGTTTCTCTGTGGAAATCTTATAACATGGAGAAGTAAAAAGCAAAATGTGGTTGCTAGATCAAGTGCAGAAGCAGAATTTCGAGCTATGGCTCAAGGTATATGTGAGTTATTATGGCTGAAAATCATTCTAGATGATCTCAAGGTGAGATATGAAGGATCTATGAAGTTACTTTGTGATAACAAGTCAGCTATTTGTATAGCCCACAATCCAATTCAACACGATCGAACCAAACATATTGAGATTGATCGCCACTTCATTAAAGAGAAATTAGATAGTGGACTGATCACTACTCAATATATTCCTTCTGGTCGTCAATTGGCTGATGTCTTAACCAAGGGTCTTCCTAATGATAGATTTCAAGAACTTACTACCAAGCTGGGAATGATAAATATCCATTCCTCAGCTTGAGGGGGAGTATTGTAAATAATAAATTTATTTTATTATTATTTTGTAATAGTTAGAATACTCTATAAGTGTATTTGGGCTTAGCCCATTAGGTTTTTTAGTCTCTTTAAATAAAGAACTCTTGTACAAATATTATACAATTCAATTATATACAAATCTTCTTTTCTAGTTCCTTGTTTGGAAGATTTTTTAGGAGAAAAAGGGAGGGGAAGTCCCAAATTCTTCCTCCCCTAATTATGGCATTACGGGAAAGAGTATTTTTTAAATTAAGCACAAAAATACATTTTGTATATTTGTTTCTCAACTTAACTACTTGAGTTTGATTTTAAGTGAAAATGTTACTCTAGTTAAACCAAATAGACATTTGTTTTTAACTAGAGAGCCTCTTTAATGGTTTTATATTATACTCTAACAACATTAACCTCCATATACTTCAAATGAAACTTTAGGCGGGATTAAGTGGGGGGAAAACCTCATTTTGTAACAATAAGGTCATGTGGCGTGTACATTACATTTGTATGTTCCATTTGATTTTGTAAAGAATCAATTCAACCCAAAAGGTTAAGCTCAGGAGAATAACAATGATAACCCTTTTGATACGAGAATAATCAAGAAAAACACACTTAAAGGTTTTGGATGTTAACTTGTCCTTACCAGGAGTGAGATCATGAACAAAACAGGTACAAACAAAGATATGTGGGGATAGAGGATAGAGAGAAGCATCTGGAAACAACAGGTTATGGGGAATGTCATTGTTAAGCACAGAGGAAGGTATGTGGTTGATGAAAAAACAAGAGGCGAGTACTGCATCTGCCCAGAAGTGAAGAGGAACATGCATGTGAATAAGAAGAGTCCAGGCATTTTCAATGAGATGTCTGTTTTTACGTTTAGCCACCCTATTTTGTTGTGGAATGTGAGGACAAGTGGTCTGGTATAAAGTACCTTGTGTGGCCAAGAAATTAGAAAAGTCAAAAGAAACATTCCTTAGCATTATCACAACATAAAATACGAATAGAGGCACCAAATTGAGTATGAACCCCAGAAGAAAACCTTTTATAAATGGAGAATAAATCAGAACGATTTTTCATTAAATAAATCTAGGTACAACAGGAATAATCATCAATAAACGTAACAAAATACCGAAAGCCTAAAACAGACAAAGTACGACTTGGACCCCAAAATCTGAATGAATAAGAGAGAAAGGAGCATCGGCTCGTTTATTGACTCGACTGGCAAAGGAGGAGCGTGTGTGCTTTCTTTGCTGACACGACAGACAATCTAAAGACTGAAGACCAAACAAAAGAGGAACCATCTTTTGAAATTTTGAAAGACTTGGATGACTGAGGCGACTGTGGATAAGTTGTGGAGATTCTGTGAGAGAGCATGCCACTGAAGGACAATGCACAACCAGATAGTAAAGACCCTGTGACTCACGGCCCACTCCAATCGTTTTGCCCGTACCCGGATCCTGCACAGAAACAGAATTGTTAAAGAAGGGAATAGTGAAAGTAAGGGAGTAGGCCAATTTACTAACAAAAATTAAGTTATAAGGGATGTCAGGAATGTAATAGACAGATGTCAAGGTCAAAGACGAGGTTAGACGAGCTTGTCCAATCCTACGAACAGGGGCTTTAGTGCCATCAACAAGGTTAAAGGAAGGTAAATGATTAGAATAAGAGAAGTAAAGAGTTTCTTACTACCACAGAGGTGATCGGTAGCACCTGAGTCAAATATCCAAGGACCAAGTGATGTGGAATGAGAAACACAAGCAACAGCATTACCAGTATCTGGACTAGAAGGCTGAGACTGAGGAGGAGCCTTCCTGAGAAGAGTTTGAAGTGTTGCATAGTCTACAAGAGAGAGAGAGACTTAACCAGATGAAGCAGTATCTGACTGAGTTATATTTGCAGCATGAGAGGGTCGCAAGTGAGGATACTTTGTGTAACAACGTTCCTCACACTTCATGTGAATAGGAGACGATTCTTCCATTATGAATGCAATAAAAACTTGTAGAACAAGGCAAATAGAATCAAACCGATAGCCAAACAAGAATAAACACACGCCAAATAAGAGACCCACGAAGAAGCAAGAGCAGATTTGGAAGGAAGAGACAAAACCGAGCAATTTTGTCCTGAAAAGACCAAAAAAGAATGTCAGAACAGTGTTTCCGGCGATGTGAACAGTAACTCTGGTGACTTGAACAGTGTTTCCGTCGGTGAACAGTGCTTCTATTAGTTGTCGGAAGGACGTATGGCAAGGAATGAGAGAACACCCAAGCAGTGGGCTTGGGGTTTTGACACACCTAAGCAGTGGGCTTAGGGTTTTAGTGGAAGAGAAAGTTCCCAGAACAAAAAGCTCTGGTACCATGTAAAGAACCAATTCAATCCAAAAACTTAAGCTTTTGGGTGAAATGGTATCAGAGCCTCGGTGTCCCGGGTTCGATCCTTGACACCCCCCATTTTCTTTGTGGAATTTCTTAGCACAGGTAGGCTAGGATTGATGCATCATCTACCTTTCAAGTCCAATGGGCTCTCTTGTGAGGGGGCGTATTAGAGATATATAAGACCATTCATGTAACTTCACCCACCAGCTTAAGCTTTTGGGTGAAATGGTTCTTTACATATTTAATTCAAAAATTAACGTTTCCACTTAAAACCAAATTTAATGAGGGTTAAGTGATAAAATAACTTTGGGATTAAGTTGAGACAAGGGAAAGTGGCTCCTTTCCCAACCTCTTGCCTCCCTTCCATTCCACTAAAACTATCAAACATAGAACATATATAGAACACCAGATAGAGAAAAGTTTAATGCAAATCATATATACCTCTCAAAGCAATGACTAGAAATTAAAACCTTAGTTGTTGAAGATGAGACACACAAAATTGTATTAGACATAAACCAACTCTTACTCCACCAAACTATATATCAGTTCATTGTATTAGACATAAACCAAGTCTTACTCCACCAAACCATATAGCAGTTCATCGTTTTGACTGGAAAGTAGTACGTATAGCTATCTTGTCTTGTACAACCTCATGGACCTTAATAGAATGGTCCAAACAGCAAGCCCAATAAAATCCTTTTAGTTAAGCCTAATCTTTACTCTAACACATATAATGCTAGTGGCTCATCGTGTTAACAAAATGTTTCCACACAATGAGTTGGCATGCTTCCAGGATAGAGGAGTGGTCCCTATTACTTTATTTTCTCCAACAACCACCTTTTAATCTAACCCAATTGTGTCAAAATTCTGGCTAATATTTCCTGGTTGTGCAGCCCAACTCCATTATTAATAGCAGCCATGATTTACAATCCATATTTTCATCAACCCATGTTGTAAAACAAAAGGTCCAATCCAATCAATTAACCACAAATTCCAAACCAATAGTTGGCATAAACCAAAGAAATGTGTTACAAACAAACTCCCCAGCCTGTGACAAAACAAATGAAATCCACCCAAGCAGGTTTTCATCAGCACCTTAAGGATCAATATCAGAACAATGATTGAGTAGAGTGTCCATGACTTGACTAAAAAGAGAAGGGTACATCATGGTTCAACGGAACTTAAACATGTAGATCCAACTGAACACCAAGTCCAACTCACAAATAACAGAACAACCCTCATAAGCAAAAGCAAGAAACAAATGACAATTACAACATCCGCATCACTCCACAGTCACACCACACAAACATGAAAATTTATATGGAGTTGAACAAGAAATAAGATAGACAAAAGGGGCAAAGAAAAAGTTGGGAATTTTTACCAAAAGCATGAAGATGCTCCAACTTAACATTCAAGTCCCCTTTGGTGCTCTCTCCAAGATAGTCAACCTCGTACTTGTTGGAAGGTGTCACAGAGAAAACACCACTAGTGACTGGCTTGGGGTCCAAGGAACATAGACAAACCGTTGAAGCGTTTCTTCCTGGTTCCACATTGAAGGTGTTACTGTAACAGTAAAAGGTTCCTTTCAAAGCTCCGTTTTTGAAGCAGTTATTGGTGGCTGCCACTGTAAAAGAAACATCGAGGTTGACAGTGAAGTTGCCGAAAAACTTTGCCCCAAACATCTATGTCTTAATGCAGCACCGAAGGTTGGTGCCGGAGAAGTTAAAGTGAGAGAAACAGTTAATGGAAAACAGAATCTGTGTTCTGAACACTGATAGTGAGGGACAGCATGGAACCAAATAATGACATTGAATAGTGTCTTTTTTCTCTTTCTTTTTTCCCTATTGTATCATAAATAGTATAAATTTTCTAAGTCATTTTCTCAATAATAATAGAATATTCTTAATTCCTCTTAAGTTATTTTGTAGATGATCATTAAGGTCATATTTTACCTGGATATAATATTACTTTTTTTCAATAAGAGGAAATTAATATTAAACATTATGAAAAAGTAAAATTAAATTTAAAAGTATTAAAAAGATATAACTTATCTACTTAAAATTTTTAATTGAAATAATTTTTTTTGAGAAAATGATTTTTACAATTGTGGTAGAAATCATTCCATCTCCCACTTATACAAAAATAAGAGAGAAAAGAAAAAATAAGAGAAAATAGAAAAATTTGTGTTAGGATGAATGATTTATGTCATAACTGCATAAATCATTTCCTCAATTTTTTATGGGTTAATCTTTTCTCATTTTTTACATGAGAAAAGATTCTCATGTTACATGAGTAAAGATTCTCATGTTACAGATACAATCAAAAGGTGGGTCCCATATTTATTCTTTTTGTCTTTTTACTTTTTTGTGGACTCCACTTATACATTGAGTGTGTGGCATAAGACAATTTTCTCGTGTAAAATGAGAAAATTAATCCTCATTTTTTATATATGAAAACCAAGATGATTATGGGGCCTTGAGTTCAATTTTCATCGTCCCATAATTTACCTGCTTAAATTTTTTAGTTAAATTGGTGCTTTAAAAAATAAAAATTATGACAAATTAAAATTTATTTAGAGAAATAAAGTCTTTTATCGATAATTTCGTTTACAATTATTAGTGTTGCCCATTTGACGAGAATGAATAATTACAGTATACTTATTTACCAATTTCTTCACATTTATATCTAGATTAATGCTAAACAATAAAGGGGGCAAATTTTGACAGAATTATAAGGTGGCTGTTGGATGAAATGAAGTTGTATGGACCACTTAGTTATCCAATAGTCAACAGATATGTCACTTTATTCCGTAAAAAATTATTGCGAAATAGCATTTTTTTTTTTATCGAGTGAAATTTAATGGTTCTTCCCTCTAAATCTAGTTTGCATCGTCTTTTCTAATAATTTAAAATTTATATGACCCTTAAAAATTATCCTTAACATTGATTTCATTCTCTTAATAATCTTCATAATAATTAACAAATGAAGTAAGTATTGAATTTTTTTGTCTATGAACAAAACTTTTATTTTTTTTCTTCCAACACATACCTTAATAAATATTAAAATGATTATTATGAAAAAGGATAAGATTTTGCCAATTTGATGATTATAACAAGAGATAAAATTATCTCATACAACTCAAGATAATGTTGTTTTGACAAAAAAATTATCTCTATAAAAAATAATTTTCTCATACAACTCAAAATAACGTTGTTTTGACAAAAAAAATATCATGTAAAAAGAAAAATAAAATTTCTAAAATACCCTATATATTTTTTAGAGCAACCAACGAGAGGAAGGACTTTAGAAGTAAGTTAAGAGTGTTTTGTTGATAGCTTATGACCAATATTTGGTGATGCATGACTTAGTGATATGTGTTGCTGGAGACTTTTATATTAGATAAGAACTTAAAAATAAAAGACAATATTAAAACTTGTACCAGTCATTCATCATAAGGTTGAGTCTTCTAATTTAAAAAAATTTGGTTGTTGTTCTGTCTTAGAGACAGAGATGTCTAACCCAATGGACTAGTTGTTGCTTTTGGATCTAGGTGCCCTCTCTAAGATATCTATAAGTTAGATGCCCTTGAGTCAAACAGATCGTGGTACACAGAAGAACAATAAACGGCTTTGCCAAAGGGATGTGTGTGCGCACAGTGATAGCATAACAGTAAGAGAGATAGCGTAACGTACCTGTAGGTTTTACCACTTATTTATAGAGTTTGCCTGTGGGTATTGGATTTTGGACCTTCAGTACTTCTGATAACGGATCAAGCCCATATATCATGTTGTCGTATTAGGATTGATATCATTGATGAATATCTTTCCTTAACTGTGTCTGATTTATATTTGGATTGCCCATTGTTGGGTTTGTTAATAGATGAGCCTCATATATGAGTCCATAACAATTTCCCCTCAGCCGAGCAGTTTGGGTGTCTAAGCTGTCGAGGTGTAAATATTTTGAATCTTCGTTAAATTTGCATTCGTTCGGGTTTCTTCGAAAGTTACTCGGGTTCTTTGTAAAACCAATCTCGGTTCTTATGATCTTCCCATGTATGCATTATGGTCTAGTAAACAACATCATTTGGCTTTATCCTTGGGTTTCTTTTTAAGAGGTATTCGGTTTTCAAAATTCAAAGATTTTATATTAATGGGTAATATATCTGCCCCCAATCTCAGTACATTGAGTATTCAATATACTGAGATATTATTCATGTCGTTCTAACCTGAGTTGCAAATGAACTTGGATTGCTTCATCTTTAATTGATGAGTTTCCCCCAAGTTCTCCTGTTTTGGAACTCGGCTCGAAAATTCGATGTAAATATATTTTCGGGATATATTTATATTTTCTGCATCAATGATGCAATTTTTACACGTGGTAACTTTTGCATTCATTAGCGTGTTGCAGGTAGCTTATGCCATTTTCGAATTTTGTGTGCATTTAATGCCTGAGTCATTTCAAATACCTAATCATTGCTTTTTAGGGGCAATTGACACTTGCGCCCCTAACCTTTGCCCTTCGTAACCGTAACGGTTACAAAAAGTTGTATATACTTTTCCCCTTTTCATTCTCCCACTTCTCATTTGCAGTTTGCGAGAAGTTCATTTTTATTTTCCCTCTCTGCATTTCGTGCATACAAGAGCTCACATTCAAGCGTCTCCATACACTATTTCTACTTAGGTACCTTCATTGTCTCTTAGATTCCTCAGTTCCTTTTGAAAATCTGAAGTGATCTATGCCTCGAATCTTCATTTCTCTGGCTTTTTAAGTTTCTGAATTTCTAAATGCTCTTGCGTCTTTGAATCTTATTGTTTTTTGAATCATCTGTATCTTGCATAATTTTTTTGGTTTTTCTAAGTGAGTATTCATCTTCTGTCTGAAGACTTTAAACAAATTTTTCATATGTTTCTTGCTTTCTTCAATAATGAGAGGGAAGAAAAATCCTCGGAATACTGTCTATGGTGGAGACCAGGAAAAAGATGAATCAGATCTTCTTAAAAAGATACCTCCTGGTCTTCTATATTGGTTCTAGGGAATACCCTGCACTGAAGAGGAGAAACACGAAGCCATGCTTCGTGGATACCGTGGTGGAAGTAGCAGTAGAGGTAGGTCCGGGTTATCAGACCATATGATTCCTCAAAACCCTATTGGCCGGGGTCGAGGCTCAAGTAGGCAGGGTAGAGGTCGTTCTTTTGTAAACAAATGTATCCCTCAATATTTTTCTAGAACCCAGCCAGACACTCCTCATATTGTTTCCCATCCAAATTTGGATGTGTCGTCTTCTTCTCAGGCTCCCCCTAGGTCTGTAAAGCCTAAACATGATGACCTTTATTATTCTTGTGTCTTTTTAAGTTATAAACTCATAGAGAGGGGATGTGACTCTCTAGCCGAGTCTATCTTGTCTAGTTGTCGCCATGGAGATGTTCCAGAATCTACCTCGGCTTCTGGTGATGCAAAAGATCTGATTTCAATCTCGGAGAAATCTGCAACTTCATCAACTAGTAATTCTTCTACTAGTAGCTTTTTTTTATTCAGGTATGCCCATCCATTTCTTCTGATTATTCTTCTCCTTGTTTTATGTATTTATGGCATCATCTTCATCAGAGATTGTAGAGGAGTCTCGTTCTGCTGAGTCGGATTTTGAGTCTCCTCCTGCTGCCTTAATAGCCTAGTATCCCTGGGTGACTTATAAAGTTTTAAGCACCTTATCTGAGATGAGCGTGGAAGACGTAACCGGGCACAATGTCGGCAACCTTATCAACTATGATATAGTTCCTCCCCATGAAAATGAGCCGGTTAGCTCAGGGAGGAATTTAGATTAACCCTCTTTTTTCTTATTTTACCGAGATCTTGTGACGCAACTCGGTATTGGGTTTCCTTTAACCGAATTTCGGATTTCTATTTTAAACCATCTCCATATAGCTCCTTCTCAACTCCACCCCAATGGTTGGGGATTTTTGAAAGCGCTTGAGCGCTTCTGTGCTTATTGATGGGATGAAAATTCGTTCCAATCTAAGCCCATTTTGATGGTAAAAATTCCATCTGTTCCTTCATCCGGGGACCATTTTTTGCCTTAAAAATACATTTCTAGATCTTAGGAACAAAAGCTCTTGTAATCAGCTGAGAATACAAGAAAAGAGGAACAGATTGACTCATTAATTCACCTGCTCCTCTAACCCTCTCTCTCTGACCACTTTGCAGGAAACGTTGAAAAGAAGCTTTCAAAAAGTAGAAAGAAGTACAGCAATCAAGCAGGAAGAAATGTGTAAGCAGCGAATAAAGAGTTACCATTGGGTGAGAGAAAAAGTAAGCATGGGAGACTCAGAAGAAAAAGGAAAATTTCAACCTTAAGTTGTCCCATCCAATAACTTGTTTCACATAAAAGCATTGTTTACACCGCCTCTTTATGCAATCAAGGAACAACTCAGAAAGAATTACAAATATGCCATCTACTCTTCTGACCTATAAATAGGATGTTCCAACACGAAGAAAAGATCGAACTCCTTAAGAAGAGATCACATAGGATAGTTTCAGTTTCAGTTTGTATAGTTTTAGCAATAGTTAAGTGACAACAACTCGTCCCCTACTCTCTTTTCACCATTTGAGACTCCTCACGAGCATTACCCATACTTCTCCATTTTTTCTCTTTGTAATCTGAAGTTATTTCTCATTAATATATGTT